CAAAACCTGTAACTCTACCACACAACTCAAGAGCTAGAATACATTACGTGTCGTTATGATGCTGTTTTTAGTCCATTTTATTACCTGCTCAGCATCCCCATAGCACCTAACATGATTTTTGCGTTTCTTCTTCCCTTGTTCTTTGTTGATGGTTTAATAATTTCTCCATATATGTTAGTATCCATATGCAATATATATGCAGTATATTTAGTTTTGTTTGGTTTTTAATATTATAAAAATAGTTTCATACTAAAAAAAAAAAAAGAAAGAACAAACCCAGTTGCTATCGAGATGTCTCCATAGGTAGGGCAGATCCGTGCTCCACAGGGTTTTCAATGGCTGATTTTTCGGAAGTAGATCACCAGGCCTTTCTTCCAAGGTACCTCTGGGTGAACTTGAACCTCCAGCGTTTTCGTTAGCAGAGAGCACATTAACCACCTGCACCACCCAGGGACTCAGGAGCCAGACAGATACGGTTCAAATCCCAGCTCCGGCCCTTCCCATGTGAGTGTCCCCAGCCCTGTCTGAACCTCTGTTTCTTTAGCTGTAACATAGGATGATAATGCTTTGGGGGGGTTGCCCTGGGGATTAAATGAGGTTGAAAGCCTTGGTGTCATCCTTGACTCCTTCTTTTTCTCATGCCCCACATTCAATTTGCTGGTATATTCTGTTGGCTGTTCCTTTAAAATCCACCTAGAATCTGTCTACTTCTCCTGCCACCAACCCCTCCTGCCCCCCATCCTGTTCACCCTCATCTCCTGCCTGGACCATCACAGCAGCACCTCCCTGGCCTCCCCGCTCCCACTCCTGCCCACAGTCTGTTCCCCTCAAGCAGCCAGGGAACCCTGTGAACACCTGAGTCAGGTCACATCCCTATCTTGCTCCCAGTCGTCTTGCCGCTCCCGTCACTCAGCGGAAAAGCCAGAGTCCTCTCTGTGGCCCACGTGGCCTCACGTGACCTGCCTCTGTCACCTCCCTACCCTCATCTCCCACCACTCACCCCCCTCGCTCGCTCTGCTCCAGCCACATAACCACAAAACCAAACCTGTTGCGATCAAGTGGATTCTGATTCATAGCGAGCCTATAGGACAGAGGAGAAATGCCCCATAGGGTTTCCAAGGAGCGGCTGGTGGATTCGAACTGTGAACCTTTTGGTTAGTAGCTGTCATGGATTGAATTGTGTCTCCCCAAAATATCTGTCAACTTGGCTAGGTCATGATTCCCAGTATTGTATGATTATGTACCATTTTGTAATCTGATGTGATTTCCTTACGTGTTGTAAACTCTAGCACTGTGAAGTAATAAAATGGATTAGCAGCAGTTATATTGATGAGGTCTACAAGATTAGATAGTGGCTTAAACTAATCTCTTTTGAGATACAAAAGACAGAAGCGAGCAGAGAGACATGGGAACCTCACATCACCAAGAAAGCAGCGCTGGGAGCAGAGCGCATCCTTTGGACCTGAGGTTCCTGCGCAGAGAAGCTCCCAGACCAAGGGAAGACTGATGACACGGACCTTCTTTCTTCCACAGCAGGCAGAGAAAGCCTTCCCTGGAGCTGAACTTGGACTTGTAGCCTACTAGACTGTGAGAGAATACATTTCTGTTTGTTAAAGCCATCCATCCACTTGTGGTATTTCTGTTAGAGCAGCACTAGATGACTAAGACAGCAGAGGAACACAACCATTGCGCCACCTGGGCTCCTCCAACCACATCCAAAAAAAAAAAAACCAAACCCATTGCCATCGAGTTGATTCCAACTCATAGCAACCCTATAGGACAGAGTAGAACGTCCCCAATGGGCTTCCAAGGAGCAGCTGGTGGATTCGAATGGCTGACCTTTTGGTTAACAGCCAAGCTCTTAACCACTGAGCCACCAGGCTCCTTTAGCCACATGGGCCTCCTCAAATATATCAGGCTGCCCTCCTTCATTTGTCCTGGCAGCTCCCTCTGCTGTGGAACTCTGTTCCCCTGGGGTCTGCATGGTCCCCTCCCTCTCTCCTTCACGTCTCGGCTCAATGTCACCTTCTCAGTGAGGCTTTCTTTGATCACCGTATTTCAAACAGCACCTCCGTCCCTCACCCCCATACCCCACACCTTCCAACCCCCTTCCCTGCTTTGTTTTCCTTCGAAGCACTTAGGTCACGTGACCTACTCTACAGCTACGTGTTTATCTATCTTTGGTCTCCTCCTTTAGAATATGAGCTCCCAGGCCCAGGGAATTCCGCAGGTTCTGTTCATCCCTGTAGCCCTAGTACCTGGCATACAGCAAACACTCAATAAACATTAGTTGAAGAAAGGAAGGAATGATAAATAGGTGTAAGATGCTTAGCACAGCACCTGTCGCAGAGAGAGCGTAACGAACGGCTGGAAGGACGGTGATTTAGGTGAACCAGACAAAGGCCCTGCCCTTGGGGAGCTCCCATCGCGGGGTGCACGGGAGACAGGCAGGTACAGCCGATCGTGACACCAGTGATATGTCATACACACAGGAGCTTACAGGCTGCAGGGCTGGAGACCCTGAGGCTTCTGGGAGGCCAAGTTGAGCAAGGCTTTTGACGGTGTCTTGGTCACCTACTGCTGCTATAACATAAATATCACAAGTGGATGGCTTT